AGACGAAAAATATAGTCCATCTGAAGAAGAAATACGTAGAAAATGTAATCATGGCAGATATAAATATATGTAATTATAAAAGTACGTGTCATCTGGTCACGTTAGAAAGACATCTTCATATTCCAACTACATAAATATGTTTCAACATAGAGTCTTCACAGCATTTCAGTAGCTAGCCTATTACAAGGAATTAAATCATTATAAATACCTTTAAAAACAAAGCTTTAACTTGAAATAGGGATAGCATGAAAATATAATAACGACACAGTAGGTACTTCAAAGTAGAGACTTTTTTTATGAAATCCATTTATACAATGTGTAATTTATTAATTTACGGAGCGTAAAAGGTATATATATACGTGTGTATATACATGTGTTTTCTGCATCTTTTTCTTTACTTGTACACCAATATTCTTGCTCTCTTCCCATGCGTGTTCTGTTTTCGTGCAAGTTTGGCTCCAGCTGCTGGGTTATAATTGTCTCAGGCATTGTTTATGAGGTTTTGCCCATTATATCCTAACCTATTCTATTCCGTTTCGCTTTTCGCTTCAAATCAAATTGTTTTGGTTCCTTCAGTTCGCTAAACTCCGATTTCTTTATTTTTACTTTTTGCCACATAAATCCTTTTAAAATATTTCCATAAAATTACAGTCACAAGGCACATTGATTAAATATATATACACATTTCGCTAATTCTTCCTGAACACTCAACAATGTTTGCGAGCACTTTACTACCTTATTAACTCAGAAGATGGCGCTGTCAAATGATTTATTACCCCAAACACTAAATAACGTAAAAATATTTCTATAATAATAATAATCGTGCTGATAGGTTTCCCAAATCATGGATACTTTGTGTTAGTTTCAGAGTTTTCTCTTCTCCACTAACGGTTCTCAAACTTTAAGACACGTCTAAAAACTATAAGTAGTGCCTTATTAACGTAGATTAATTAGAATAATTTATTCTGAGCCATCAATTTCAATATACGAATGTATTGTATGTTTAATAAGAAAACATGTATATTCATGTTAATCTAATCTGGGCCTGGT